GTATTTGTGTTGTCTCTTTATTTTGAACATGTTAAAATAGTATAACAACATCAACAACAGAGAAAAAGGAGACAAACAAAGAAAAACAAAAGCAAAACAAAACAATAATAATTAGAAATTATAAATAATATGTTTAAAAAGCAGCTGGAAGAAGTGTAAGTTTATTTAATCCCACCCCTTCTCCCTCCTTTAGTAACTAATAGGCTACACCTTTTCTCCCTGTCCATTGTAAATTCTTCCGTACAATTTGTTACATGTATTTGCTTTTATAACTGTAGTAACACGTCAAAAGGCTACTTTTACATTTACAGATATATATACTTATGTAAACATACTTGTGCACCCACACATACACATCCCTGTTGTGAAACTAATGGGGGAGAACACCAGATCAGAGCCTTTCCTCCTCCCTGCACTTTGCAAAAACCATAGTTTTGAACCTCTGTTTAAACTGAGTCATGCTTCAGTTCGTCACTCAGTCTGTTCCACAGCTTTATTCCACACACAGAGATGCAAAAGCCTTTAAGTGTTGTTTGAACACAGGGATGTTTTACATTTATTTCCCCCCCTAACTGTATCCCTCTACTCTTTTAGAAAACATTTTGAGAATATTGTCAGGATGTGGGCTGTTTATTGCTTTATATATAATTTGTACAGTGAGAAAATGAACCGGATCAGTGAATTCTATAACCAGTATTATGGATTATCCTTATGGCCCTTTTTGCAAAATGAATATTGATGATAGCAAAAACTTAAAAGCACCAAACAGCTTATTCAGCTATTGTCTCCTATTTGGTCTCTTTTCATTGGTCTGGATGGTTGAAGTCTGAAAAGAAAAAAAGAGACTCCACGTGCTCCCAGTACCTGCGTTTGGTATCTCTCATCGCATGCTGCATGCCATATGAGCCGCTCAAATCGCCAGTGGTGAGACCCACGTTGTAGGAGGCGGTCCTGGCGTTCATTGCAGTGCGGATCGATCTGTCCACCCACGGTTTCTGGAATGTGGTGACTCTCGCAGTGGGGATAATCTCCTCCGCTAGCATATTGACGAAGCATACTGCTACTTCCGTAAACTCGTTGATGTCGACTGGGGCATGCTCTGAACATGTCCCAGTCGACATTGTTGAGTGCGTCCTGCAGCGTAGCTTCTGATTGGGCAGACCAACGTTTCACCTCCCTCGTGGTTACTTCTTCCCTCCGTATGTTTTGTTTATACTGGGGAATGAGGAAGATGGCGTTCAAAACGTTCCAGTGCAAATGCCCCTGACAGTGAAGGGCAGTCACGGCAGGCCTCCAGCAGCCCTCTGACACTGGAGAATGGCTCTGTGCAGTCTGTTCAGGATTGTCTGGATAGAGAGCCATCGGCCACATCATCCTGGAAGCCCTGATTACCAATTTGAAGATTGGCTATGGTTCCTAAATGCTGATAGGTGTGGAAATGGGATTCTTATGTTGTTGTCTTCTTTGGACACCAGGGCCCTATTTCAGGAAGCCGGTTTAGAAAACTCAGAGTGAAAAACGATACTCAGGGTTGAGTAACCCCGAACTGTCCAACT